CTGAAATACTCAAACATCCTCTCTGAGCTCCAGCTGCCGACCGTCCATTAAGATGCCTAAACTTTGCTTTAGCGTCCATATCCATAACTACATCTGTCTTAAGCCATGAATGCAAAACATGACTGGTTAAGGCCTGAATAGCTGCATCTCTGCTTCCACGCAACCTGCCCCAGCTAACAGGAAGCCATTAGACTCTCGGCAATAACCATTTACATCCATTCACCCAGCTCTGACTTTATTTCATCCGCATAAGTGCATTTTCTGCGAGAGGTTAAAATATGAATCCCCCTCCCTTTTTTTTCTCCTCAATGGGTCTGGTCGTCTGGCTGACTTGAGAGGGCACAATCTATGACTGATTTAATTTGCTCTTTACGAACATCTCTAACAGCATTACCCCCAGAGCATACACTGACTGTCCCCATCTGACTCCATTAACTCCCAAATCAGGTTTAAAGACCATATTGATGCCGTCCGTTATTAAGGGTGATTATCAAAACAACAGACAATGGGCCAAAGTGTCTGTTAACTAGTTTATCCCTAATTTCACGTAACTGTAACAGATGGCAGGGCTGTCAATTACATACTGTATCTGCTGCACACAGCGGCCACCCACTGTCTGGATATGCAGCGTATTAGCCTTTACATTAAAAGAACGATAGTCTGCTCACAGGTGGTCAGAGGAAATGGACTGAGCACACAAAATAAACTTCCATATTAAATGTCAAACACAGAAATAAATCAGGTTGAGAAAACGGTGAAAACTCACCACTCACCAGCTGCTGTTCTTTTATCGGTTACTTTTGTTGTTTAAAAATAATAAGAAATATAGAAATTGACAAATACAAAATTCCAAACGTTGCCATCCATTCCACTTCACCACCTTTATTCTCCTCAATTAACGAGAATGGCTTTTGAAACTGTAATTAAGTGTCTCTGCTCCTATCGGCCTCTTCATTATTCATGAATCCCTATTGATCATATCGTAACAAGCTATACCGCGGGGATCACTGTAATATCCTGGATCCCCAAAACAAATAGCTGAGCTCACAGAGATTACAATTAACATCTTGGCCAGTGACCCCCCCAAAAAAGAAATGTTTCCTTTAGATGCTAAATCCAGCATTTGATGCCAAACTGGACGATGAGTCTCTGAGTCTCATTAACTTGAAAATCCTTTATGAAGCCTGCCCAGTTAGATAATAATTCTTCTTCATTGCCTTTGAATGTGATCATATGATTAGGGCTGCAGCTAATGATTGTTTTCATCATCATTCATTATTTTTGTTTATGTCATCCCAGAGTTTAAGTTGTTTTATCCAAGTGATGCAAACAAACATTTTGAGTAAAGATTCGAATGGTTTTGATTCTGTTGATAAAACTAAAGAGCAAAAAACTATGAAAACTAACAATAAATAAATGAAGGAACCTTTCATTTTACACAACCAAAGAAAGCACTGAACAACTGTTATCTTATATGTATTTATAATACAACTAATATTGGTTAAATATTATTATTAAATGTCAATATGTTAATTTTAATGTAAATTGACATAAAACAAAAACTATAAAACTACTTTTTAGGGATATTTTTACATTCAGTATACAACACAGTATATGCATACATTATTCATACGTATCACAGATATTATCGACTGTGTCTTACACAACCACAGCTTCATTCCACATTCAAAGAAATTATTTTCTAATGAATATTAATGGCTTGGAGCTTTATTTTAAACATGTATTCAAATTTACTCAAACTCAATCTCCACCTGTGTTAAGTAGGAATGTGTAATACATGAACTCTGGCGGTTGATGTTTAACTAAATTAACAAAAGAGCGCGTGAAGAGCCCTCTAGCGTGACTGCTGTTGCATGCTGGGTGATGAATTTGGAGGAAACACATTGAGTCATCTTCAGACTGACAGATGCAGATCTCTCCACGGGACTCTTCACTGTGGTTTAGTGCTCGAGTGAAAAAATAGATTTTTACCAAGTTTAATCACACGCTATTACAAGGCAGCTTTTATCATTGCCTTCCACTGTGTAAGTGCTGGTGTCTTCACTAGTTCATTACAGACACTTGTGATTCTGCAGCACTCTTCTCGCGTGTAATTGCATGGCTGGCTTTCCTCTGCAGCTTCCTACACACACTCCGGTGCAAATTATTTCCAATTCCAGTTTCCTTTCGAGAGCAACGCTGCAATTACAGAAATCTGAACATCCCGGTCATTTTCCTGCAGTTTTCATTTCTGTTGTAGAAAACCAGCAGATCTTTTCCTGTGTGAAATTCTTTTCTTTTAAACTTTTCTATAGTAAGGACATCATCCTCCCACAGAGTTTAGTCGAGTACTCGATGAACCCTGAACTCTACAGGACTGACAATCTGATAAATCGCACTTTTGATGAAACAACTTTTGAATATGCCTTTTAGTAAAAAAAAAAATCCTGTGTTGTTGCTTTGGTCAGAATGAAATACAATTTTTGTTTAACCAGTATGCATAAGGTTCTGCCATATTTGCTAAAACTTATTTGAAGTCATTTATAATTAATAGTAATGGGTGCTGCATATGTTTTCTTCAGCTGGCTACATATTAGCCATTTTTCTTTATATAAAAACACCAGAAAGCCAGAGTGGCTGCCAATATTATCTATTTAGGCAGCAGAATTTGCAGGCTTTGTAAATGGCCAGCTCCAGGCCTTTTGTGTGCCTCCATTCATTATCACCACAAAGCGGTTGATGTCTCCCCTCTCTGCCTTTTCAGTTCTAAGCACGGAGTGCACCCGCCTGCCCATTACGGGCCTGTGACGCGTGCAGCCTGGGAGATAGCCAAACAGAGAGGAATGCGAGTGTGGACTTAAATTAACAAGCTACATCTGTCCGGAATCTGTGGCCAGTCAGAGAGACGAGATCTCCGGCACACGAGGCTCTGATTATTTGTTAGCCGAGATGTTGTCAGTGAATAGGCGGCTTTTCGCTCGGTGGCTTCACCTCTATTAATCAGCTAATAGGGCGGTGTAGTCAAGTTACGGTTGGAGGAACTCAATTGTTGTTTCTCAGCTATGCAATTAGTCGACACTCTATATGCCGACAGAGTTAGGAGACTTTCGGGGCTCCGTTCTGCTGCTCCTGAATAAGATGGATTACATAAACTGGTACAAAGGCTTCATGAAACAGTCAGATTTCAGAATAGGTGACGACATAAAGATGAACAACACAAGTAACCTGCACTTCAAATGATGACATGAATAGATCTTAAGGTCTTTCTCTCTCTCTGTAACACACACATACAGACACACACACGCACACTGTAATTACCCCTCAATCCATACAAATTGAATGAAGCCAGAACCGTGGTCTAAGAATATAGACCATAATTAATAAATTACAGCCACTCTACTCAATCATTCTCTACTTTGGGGACATGTAGACATCCCATTCTCCGCAGAGTAATTGACCGGGCCTACAGAAAACACACCTAGTGCCTGCACGGTGGCTTGTGTGGATACATCTGGTGCCACTTCCTTACAAACCAAACAGCTGCCCAGACTGAAAGTGCAGGTCATATCGCAGATCTTCCAGCCCGTGTGTTTACAAGTAACAAATCAAAAGCATGCATTATTTCTGGGCTCTGAAAATATGCCTGAGGGAGATATCATGTTTCCTTGCCACCCCCCCTCAAGGTTCCCCTCGCAGCTGCTGTGCACGAGCCAGTATTTCTTTTCTTTTTTTTAAGAAGAAGAAGAAAGGATGAGACATTCACAAAGACCAAAGGAGAAAAATCTTAAAATATTTTACTGCTTGTTTGAACAAATCCAAGGTCAAAATTTATATTTCCTGGTGGTTATTGCAGCTGAATACTTGGGAATACAATATTGGGAGTGAAAGAACATATACACAGGCATGCATTTGAGCATACTAAGTAGGGTATGACAGACAGAAAAAAAGGATATTTATCATATCTCTGTGTAATATGGAAGGAGACATGTGCCTCACACTGCCTCCATCTACAAATATTTCTTTGAAAATAATATATTTTCCTGTTGTCGTCGTGTGTGTCCCCCCGGGCTAGAAAAGGGCCTGCTGAAGACTGTCTAATGATTGTTGGGTCATGTATCAAATGTACAGCAGCTGGAGGCGAGAGGGGGGAATACATACAGTCTGGGGGTCGGAGGGGGTTGGGGGTAAAACGAAAGCCTGAGTGGAGTCTGTAAGGAAAGCCCAGGCTGAGTGTTTGGGTGCTGAGAGTGGGTGTGAATCTGTAATGGAGGGAAGGGGGTCATACTCACTGCGCCTAAAGAGCTCTGACATTTATTTCATTCATATAACAAGAAGGACTGAAACATAAAAATAATTCAATAACTGCAAATAAGCATACGTGCTGTGCAACCTTTAGACTCATTGCCATAGTGACAGTTGAGATGTCATTTCCTGCAGTCTGAGGAGATAGCATTTAAGCAACTAGCCATTCATTACTTTGCAATACAATAAACAACAATCCCCAACACTAGAGTGACGGCAGCCAAAGAGAAGCCTCATTCAGGTTTTTCTCGACGGTGAAAGAAAGATTATGACACATATGACACTGACATTGCTTTATTTTGAAATATATACAAATCTGAAGTCAAATTCTGGTTGATAGTTGTAAATCGTTTTTCTATATAGTGGTGAAAAAAGATCAAATCAAAACTTTTTGACTCTTGAGCAAAATTGCATTGGAATTACTGAATCTGATGTTTATAAAGTCACACCCTGACATCTTGTAAACACACACAACCCTAATTGTGTTTTAAATAACTGTAAAATTGCTACCGTGTTCTTCATTCTTCAGCCCAACAGTTTCTACAGCTCCCTGAACATGAGGAATGACTTGACATTTGAGTGAGACAGTCATAAAACACTACTGCCACCTGCTGGTCTTCCAGCTCAAGTTACATTATTATTCAGAGCCGCTGACACAACCCTCATTTCACACACAATACCTGCTGTAGTGGACTGACCTGAGGAGCGCGTCCCAGCAGCACCCACAGCGAATCAGCCGACAGGGTCTTGACTCTGGAAAACTCGAGTGTGTCCGTCTCCTGTCGGTTGAGGGCGATGTACTGGCAGCCCTGGTAGTCGCCCTTCAGCTGCTCGCCACAGTGCAACCGCACCAGATCCCACGTTCCCACTCCCCCCAGGACCTCCCGCACCGACTCCATCTGCCTGTACGACAGATGACCTGCAGGACAGATAACGCAAATTGAGCTTGTAGCCTTTCTTGTCAAACGCCTGCTTAATTTACCTTTACTAGTGCATTTATTGTACTATAAAAGAAGTAAAGTTTTGAATTCTTAAAGTCTTACTAGGATATTATATGTCTGTTTTTGAGTCATCAGGAGAGATATGACAGTAAATGAGATGAAAGATGGATGTGATGACATGCAACAAAGGCCCCCGGCAGACTTCAGAAAAGGTGGGACATTGTCAACCACTGCACTATGATTAAGAAAAGCCAACTGATAATAAAACATTCTTTAAAAAGTGGATTCATTGGTTTATATAATATTTGTATTTTTTTAAAGTGCCATGCTTTATGCTTATACAGCCTTTAATCATATTTTGTCAATTTCTGGAACAGGTTGATGTGGACTCAATCACCAGAGAGCCAGGAGGGAGTCAGTGCATCTGATATCCAGGCCATGTAGCCCTCCCTGAAGGATCTGAGGAAGTCTTCTATCTGGCTGTGGGAGACCAGCTCCCTCCTCTTCCTCAGCTCGTCCTCCAGCTCGCAGTCCGGGGAGAGGAAGATGACCCTGGGGAAGAAAAGGCTTTGGCGCACGGACACTCCACTCCTCTTCAAATGGCCGCATAAGTTAGTCGTCTTGGTCTAGAGGAGAGGACAGACAATTCATGTTTTGACTTTTTTCAAATTAAAAGGGAAAAACATTATTTGTATTCTTTAAATCGAATAACTTTGCTTTGATTTGAGTCCATTTCTATATCTTCAAATGACTTGTCTTTATTTTTTTGTTTATGTCTGAATTTCTGTGTGTGTCTGTGAGTGTTTTGTTACGAATTTGGAATTTTTTAAATCGACATTAGGAAAGAAAACTAAAGCAAACCGTCAGAATTGTTGTCCATTTATTTTGTGTTGACAGACTAATTGATTTAATTGAGTAAATTAATCCAGGAATGAGAATACTGAATGCTAACATTCACAGAGGATATCTCATTAATTAACTATTCTGTTACACAAGGACCTTAAAACACATAAATGCACATGTCCACATTTTAATCTCTAACAGGATCCATTTTAAGAAATCATACGTCCACAAATTAGCCCAGACGGTCGAGCTTTATCTGCTTTGTGTAGATTTAATGAAGTTAATAGATCCAATTCAAGCAGAACTATTTCAATAATGCAATGTGTGTTTGCCATCAGACTCTTCTGTCAAGCTCCCAGTCCAAATTGAGCATCTATAGAGATGGTAATGAATGACTGAACAGACCCAGGCCCATAAGGTGACAGCTGTGTTTAGGCACCTGCCTGCTTTCACCCCCCCCCCATGAGCATAATTACGGCCTTTCAAATGAAGAGTGCCCACTTGGGAAGTTTAGGAAGCTCCACTTTAGTGTTTGAAATTTCCATATAAATTGTTATGGTGACTCATAAGCTCTTAACACTGCGGAGGTTTGGATGAAAACAATGTTCTGGACAATTGTTTGGACCTTGGACTAAAACGTGCCAGACAGTTTGACATTTAGGTCTTCTACAATGCTGTTTCACCATTTCAGCTAAATGTGTGTTTGTACCGTGATGGCTTTGAGGGGATCTTCAATTTGCTCGATGCAGGTGTTGGTAAAATGTTGGTCCTCTTCTTTCACTCGTACATGCCAGTTTTGGTTGTGAGCGGACACGGTGCCTCTCCAGGCTTTTACATCGATGCAGAAGATCCCCTGGCCTACAAAAGTAAAACAAGAAGAAAAACCATCACGCATCAATACAGAAGTAAATATATAATGACATGATTACTATTAGTGTTTCAGGAAACACGTAATGTCAATGTAATGACCAAACAATGATTTGTTCCTCATTTAAATGAACAGCAACTCAACCACAAAGACCTGGAAAATGCCATTTTGTATATATTATATATTGTTATTATGATAACCAAGTTTCACAATGTATTGAATTATATACCTCAAATTTAGAATGATATTGATTATTGCCCAACACAATGACAAAATAACAATTCATCACAGATACCAACCTGTGAGGATAACAATGTTGATGTCATCTTTCGTCGTCTGAAACTGGTTGGGGATACGCAGATTGCAGAAGACATCTTCTTTTCTAAGTCCGGTGAACTTCCTGCAGAGACAGTAGATGTAAGAAGCCAAGAAAACATTAAGTAAAACTTCATTAAAAAGTGACCTACTGTTGATGACCACAAACAGAAGTTAATCATGCATTAATTCATTTATTTTGGTGCCAATTGTGGGCAATGGAATAAACTGTAAACACAACTTTGACATATTACAATCCTAATATGTTGTCATAGGGCTCATAGGGCTTAACATCATCTTCTGTCATTAACTCTTGAAAAGAGTGAGGAAAAACTACAAAATATATATTTAACCAGGGTAAGAAAACAGAAACCTTTTAGAATCCCTCTCCCTGCACAGACATACAGTAGATGTGACTCAAATGTATTGGCAAATATTTACATGCCCAACAACAAACTGCAGTTGTGACTCTGGCCACCAGTTGTCTCTCTCCGTTTTGGTCTCCACCAACACAAGAGGGAAATATCTGCTCCACTATGCTCACCAGCCAACTGCTTGCTTTGCCTGATGTTTTGATGTTATGCAGGAAGCACGCAGTGGGTTCATTAGAGCTTTTTCAGTAAAAAGTGCTTGTGGTGGACCTTAAAATCCAAAACAACGAGCTTAAAGACACTAAAATGCTACGCGGGAACGTTGATTCACTCTACCCACAGTGCTTCTTCACTGTTGTCACTAAAGTATTGTTGAAGTGAACTCACCTGACATGCTGTAAAAATTCAGGTAGTGTTTGTGCGCTGGCTTGGCTCAGGCCTTGGGCACTTTCTGAAGCTTTGGAGCTGAGAGGAAAGTGGGTGAACAGGCTTCCGAGCTGGAGCATTATAGTCTGAAAGAAGAAGAAAGACAAAAACATCTTCATGACCATCACTTGTCTGTTTTTATTCTATGTTATTTATTCGTTTATTTGACGGGGAAAATGACTGTAAATGAGCCAGAGTTAGCTCAACAGGCTAATGTTCATCTGTTGTGCCAGTTTTTTAAAATGGCAACCTAAAATTAAAATTGAATGACTTGTTATCGTCAACACATACAGGCAATATATATACAGACTAATATTCAGACAGGTAGAATGCATAACAATAAGAAACAAGACAACATGTGAGATAAAGCAAAGCTAGTTAACACCAACAAAGACAAACTGCAGACAAGTAGTTCTAATGGACACATCTGACTATCAATAAGCCATTTCTTCAGCTGACCATTAAAAGAACCATAAGTAATTAATCATCTCGTCTGCATTGACAACAGATTCCATCCTTCAGATGCTGTCACATGCTTCTAGAGGGAATGATAACCCCCCCCCCCAACAAACGTGACCAAGACATAAACTATACAGAAAAAAAACATTGTGTATATTTAGAGAAAAAGATTCTGAATACATAAAGAAACAGTCTGAATGATTCCAACCTGCTGTTTAAACTATAGAAAGTCGAACTAACCACGACGTGTCAAACCTAAACCTGAGCTGAACTAATCCAAAGTTAAACAAACCGTCCTCGTCTCTTGTTGTCCTGTGAAAGCTTCCTGACATGAGGGCTATGCTAATGCTAACAGCTGCTTTGTTTACAACACTTGAACCTGAACTTCGGCGGCTCGGGAGAAGAACAAAGACGCGCGCACGCACGCACGCGCACACACACACACACGCACAGAACACGCACCAGTGGAGGTCTCGCGCTGTTTGAGGAGCCTTAAGAAGAGAAACCCGGAGGAGTCAGATCGACATTTTGTTCCCCGGCGTTGTTGATGTCGGTGTGAGAGTCTTGTGTTTTCTCTCTCACACGTGAACCCTGTTTCTCAACTTCTCCTCCTCCTCCTCCTCCTCTTCCTCCTCCTCCTCCTCCTGCTGCACATCCAGTTTTTCCTAGAAGAAGTAAACAACAGCCCACGTGCACCACCTGCAGCGTCATATTTCAACCCCCCCNGGACATGGCGTCAGAGGTCACGTCACTCAGCCCCTGCAGTGTGTTGATGTTATTTCCACGTGACGTTCACCGGATGGTTTACACCGTGAGTCATTTTGACAAGCAGAGGCGGAGGAGAAGCAGGAACCTCTGGGGGGCAGATTATGGCACATGTGCCCCTGAGACATGGGTAAGACCCCCCCCCCCCCAACCACCAAACATTCCTGTCCATTGTGTTTTTCTAAACCCAAACTATTTTTGAATCTCACTACATGAAAAGATTCTATTTTTTTTCTTCTGCGCACAAGTTATTATCGTCAACAACACTGAACAACTAAATTGAACTGAATTGAAGAGCTTTTATCATATTCATTATTTTCTTTCTCTGTGGATTTTGTGACGTACTTTGTGACCTAATTCAGATAAGCGCTTTACAAATAAAGTTATTATTGTAATTATAAGTTACTATTTTGTTCTTGTGCACACAAGATAAAAAATAGATTATTCTGGTGAACTTCAGTGGCTCCTTGCGTCTCCGTATCTGTTTCGAATTGTTTTTCGTGGTTGTCTCTGTGTAGTTTTGGTCTATTCTGGTCGCAATGCTTCCCTTTGTGCTTATATCACATCTCTTTCCTTCTGTGGTCATTTTTTGTATAGTTCAGCATCTCTCTCTGTACTTGCTTTGCATCATTCAAGGTCATTTTGTGGTTGGTTTAGTTGGTTTGTGTTTTTTGTTTCTTTGTAGTTTTTGTGCATCTCTTTGTGGTCATTTTTCAGACCTGAGAATTTGTTGACTTTAAAATATTTTGCAATATCATATTGTCATCAGATGAAGATATTAATATTTTTCAGTTGGGCGGATGAGGAGTAATATGGAATAATTCAGAGATCTATATAGCTGGTTCAGATTTAAGTTTTAGCTCCAATAATCCAGTTCATTATAAGACATGATCAGTTTCGTGTGAGTTAAGTACTAAAAATATTATTCTTGATTACAAGACTTTTGACTTAAGGCAAAAGTTATCACAATGAAGTTTAACCTTGACTTGTCTGATAATGAGAAAAATAACTTTTTTGATGTCATAGCATATATGGGAGGACACTGATAAAATACACCCTGTCTGTCTTTTTCCTGAACTCATCAACAGTCTACGCAGGATTTTCATGTACATTTCAACAGGATCTGCACATCCTGCATGAGCCCACCGAGAGGATATTACAAAAGTGATGAAGAATATTTAATTCCGCAGTAAATACACATTGAAAATCTCAATGTGGTGATAAACAATATCCGGATGGCACAAAATACTGTGAAAGAGCTTAATATCAGGAGCAGATAGCCAAATCAGCTCATATGGGCTCAATGGAAGCCAATAAACAGAGGCACTCTGCTCCTCCTGACCTTCACTTCTGGTGCAGATCGGGGCGATAAAGCAGGCGCAACCTCAATAAAACCCATACAATGGACTAAAATAAATAGATATTAAATTAAAGCAGAGGCAATACTGGCTGAACTGCTGCAGGAATTCGAGGACAAAAGCGTCTTTGTGCACTTTAATATTGTCTACAATCACCACCTCATGATACATTCCCAATCATTTCCATCTCTTGCCTTGACGTATCAACACATATAATCATCTTGTATTGGAACTTGCAAATGACTTGTGTGTGTGTGTGTGTGTGTGAGCAACCAAGTTTACACTGTATATTAAATGTGCTTCATGCTCCTTGTTTGGCCTTTTCGGTCGGAGTTAATATCAAATTCGTAATCTCCCTCATCTCTGACTGTCCACTGAGGAGGAGTTGATGGTTTCATGCGCTGTCACAAGCGCATGGTTGTCTTTGCACAAACTTCACCCTGCTGCATCTTGGGTTCTTCTTGATACCAGAGGCCTCAGAAGAAGCTGAGGAATTAGCAGCTGCTTATTTTGGTGTCATTACATATGCTGCTGCTGCTGAAGGCCCATGTTCAGCCCTTTGTCATGGGCTGAAATACAGGCCCTCTTCAGGTCCGCTGCATGCTTCAAGAGCTTCCTGGAGCCTTGCGTCTACTATTGTCGCCGTTAATGTCATTTTCACCTAATGCACCTGAAGAGCTCGGCTGTATGTGTGTGAGGAGCTGCTTAGGGGTTTCAGGTCCCCTCTAAAATATAATTAGACATCAGAGTTCATACTTGGGGGCTTAGCTGCTATTGTATAGAGAGCTTAGTGACCTCACTAGGAAGAAAGGAGCATGATCTGGAGAATGATAATGGTATGAATTTTATGTATTTGTCAGAATCTACTAGAGGATGATATCCAGCATCTTGCATACAAAAAAAGAGATATCATTTTTCATGCAGGCGATATTTCCATTTTCAATCCTTCAAATCAAGGATCTCATTTGCAGAAGTAATGGCCACAGGACATCGCTGACGCTCCACTCACTAATTTTTGCTCATTTCCCTTGAATTATTAACACGAGAGATTCTCCATATGCTCTCCGAGAATTCTAGTCAACTTGTTCTGGAGAGAATTTGCAATTTAGAGTGAAGAGTATAAAGAGCTTAACTGCCCCAATCAAACGGTGTGATTTAAAGCCCGTCTAGTCGAGATGTTTAATAGGGGCCGCAGCTGAGTGACCTGAAGTAAAGGGTCTGAAAATGATCATGGGTCTCAATCACCTGTATAATTAGGAGCATTCACCTGGGTACTAAAAAAAAGGGTTTGCTAATTATAGACAGTAGAAATTAGGTGAAATAACCTTTTATATGTGTTCTGTGCCAAATGCCAAAGTACTAACAAAACAGACAACTAACAATGCCCCTGATATAATAAACCCTGGTAAACCTGGGCTCAAATACAAAGCGTGAAAAACAATTTTGGTATCGACCTCGGAGAACCTTCCAGCTGTCTGGCCTGCCTCAGTAATTAGTTACGCCATATGAAGAGGTAATTTGTATGCTAAAGTTTAATTGTTCAATTATCATGGATGGGAGAGGAGGACTTGATGCCATTTCATCATGATAAAAAAAAAAGAGTTGAGAACTCCTCGTGCCACACATTGTAATAGTTGGCAATTATACAGCAAGAGAGAGAGTCCTCTCAGTGGTCTGACTGATGCTGGCTCACCCCGCTGCTTCTTGCCTGGTGAAGTCAAATGATTCAGCCTCACAGTGGAAAAGAAGCAGAAGTCGCTGTGGACAGACAACGTAAACACAAAGTGCTGAGGACAACATGTTTAAACTACATTACTGCAGAGTTAAACAGGACACGATTGGTTGAACCATCCTCGATGTCACCTTCAGGGTCTAAGTTCATTTTTTCAGCTTCTTTCAATCTTTGCATTTCAACCTGGGATGTTTTGCATGATTGCGTTCCCTGAATGCATCATCTTTTTCAAGGAGAGAGATAAATAGAGATAGATATATAGTTAGATAGATAGACGGATGGATGGATAGATAGATAGATAGATAGATAGATAGATAGATAGATAGATAGATAGATAGATAGATAGATAGATAGATGGATGGATGGATAGATAGATAGATAGATAGATAGATAGATAGATTCCAAAAAATGTTTGTATTGCTTTTCTCAAAGAAAAGCTTAATTTACAAAGTTTTTTGAAATATAGCGATTTCAAACAAATATATAAATTTTTGGTATCACTATAATATATATTATCGACAGACAGCTGTAAAACAAGACTATGAAAGACATTTACAAACAAGACAGCCACCAGAACTTCAGAATAATTCAATTTTATATATGCTGTGGAACACTGAATTGGATTTTATTGGTATGTTACAATACATGTCACATAGGTTCTGCAGGATTTAGTCTCAGTAAGTATAAAAATTATTAAAGTGCATTTCTTTCCATGTCGTAATAGAGAACACGCAGGAGACAAAAGATGATCCGTCCTTTTCACTCGGCAGTTCTTCAAGATTCTCATTAGGGCTCAGAATGGAACCACATGTGTCCAATTCATAATTAGCTCCTATAGGAAAAGAGCTGACAACTAAAACAGCACAGGATGGATGTGTCAGAAAAAAATACAGATATGGATGGAATTTAGAAGTCATTTCAACTTGAAAGATAACAGAACACTAAGAAGATAATTACCTGCAATAGGATACTCCAATGTGCAGAGGTTGTTGTGCTTCAAGATGATTTTGACCCATTAAATAACTCCACTTGGACTACGTGATTCCTAAATTCCTATTCTTTAATTTCCCTCATTATCCTCTTTCCTTCCTCTGTTAGTTCATTTCCTTAGTTTTCCTTAGTTTAGTCCTTTTAGTTTTTTCCATTGGACAGAGAAATTTGGCTGACTGACGTTCTGCTCATCGTGTGGTCAGGCTAAAGCTCAGATTTATTTGTTAGCGTGTGGTGACCCTCACAGAGCTGATGCAGTGGTTGTGTGGTTCAGGTAATGTGTTTTACATCTTTTAAAAATAAAAGAATCCCTTATTTTTGCACAGATAGAGGAACTCAGCTGTGGGTGTGCAGCGTTCAGACTCTTACATTCAAAGACTTAGAGATGACGCTGTATATTACATCTTCCACCTGTGTTCACAAAGTGAAAATGCAAAAAACAAAAATAAGGAAACTTTAGTTGTATAGAGGAATAAATGATTGGAGATGAATAGGTACTGTACTGTTTTGACATTTAACAACAAATTAAATTTGTAACTTTTTTATTTCCACATATGTAGTTTGCTGACGTTAAATGTGTCTTCAATATTTAAAAGAAACCAGCTTTAATATAGGATATATAACACAGTTTCATTTCATTTAGGGTAATGAAAAACTATTAACATTCCTTTCTATTTGAACAACGTGTGGCAGTGACAGACACAGTCCCTTTGATGAGTGATTTGTAAAACCAGACGTAAAACAGGTATTTTCAGCTCCCCCCACACAGAAAAGGCCTCTTTCATGTTCCTCCAACTTGGTGCTCACAATCTAAAACAAGGCTGCAATTGTGGTTGTCACCAAACAATGACATTTTTCTTTCTTTCACTCTCTAAATTCCCCATATCATCTCTACACAG